GTGTGTGTGTGTATATATATATATATATATATATATATATATAAAGAGTAGATACTAAAGTCAACACAGTGGTGATAATTACTTTCATACTTGAACAGAATCTTCAGGCCATATAGGTTGGATAGTGCATCAGTTATATTTACTAATCCTTTGAGCATTATGTGTAGAAAGGTTGTTATTTTTGGTTTGTCTTATTCTACTGGTTATTGAATTGGCAGTAAATGGTTATTTTAAATTATTCTAATGGCTACTGAGTACAAATAATTATGGGCCTGAACATGATTATTTTGTAGCTGTTGTATAGTGTTGTTGCTTACAATTTAAATCATTCTTATTTTTTATTAATAACTGTCATAAATTTTATATTCATTCATTAAATTTAAGTATTATTATTGATAAATTTACTGAGTTGAGTTTTGTTTAAATTATATTACATTATCAAGTTGTAGATATTTGCATTTTTCTTAGTGATACTTTACAAGATATTTATTTACAGTATTCACAGTAAAAATTTGTTTTCATGCCTGCATTTTTATTTAGTAATTTGTGTTGGTATGGGAAAGTGAATAAGGCTATTTTCTCCACCAGACAAAATTTACTGTTTTTAAAGTCACTGATGTAAACTGGTGCTGTTTTCCTTATATTCCATGATATTTTTGGGGTGTTTTTTTTTTTAAGTTCTTATTTAGAAAGAGTTGTGCTGCTTTTGTGTATAGTTTCTGTTTCCAATGTCCTCCATTTACTCCTATACATATATATATATATATATATATATATATATATATATATTTTCATTGTTACCTTCTGTTTTTACAGTAGCTTGGTATATTATATTGCTTTACAGGAAACTGCTGTTTAAGGGACATTCATGCTTTGCTCTGTAGTTACATGTGGGTTGGGTCGTGTGGTTGATTTTTTGGCTATATTTCTGTATGGCCTTTTTATTATCAATGTCATGTTCTCAGTGCTACTGTAGATGTTCTTTAATACACTGCTGGCTAATGTCTTGTGGGAAGTGCTTGAGGGATAGAAGTGTTTGTAGAGTTTAACCCTTCTCAAGTTTTAAATTCAGTGTTGTCCTTTTCCTAGACCTGTTGCCACCCATTTCTATACAATTTAGTTTGTCCTGTCATTTACCCACACCTGGGGGCTGAAGCATTAGATTCAAACCTTTTGTGAGGCTATTTCTACTTAAGTTAATGTACTGAACTTAACTGGTAGTTGAACTCAGCTCACCAATTCCACAATCCATACTTCTATCTATTTATTTTATTGGGCCTTTATTATATATGTGAATGTGTGTGTGTGTGTATATATATATATATATATATATATATATGTATGTGAATTAAATTTCGGGCACACTACTGTTACTTTCATGCTTTTACACCTGACAGTATAGCATGAAACAGATGGTAGTGGTCAGTCACTGTGTGCCAGAAATTTAATTCATAATTTCATAAAGCTCTGCCATTCTAGAATGGAGCACTTTTTCTTTACGACCTGCATCCACAGCAGACTCCTTTTAAGAGCTGCTTCTTTCTATTATATATTAAAACAAAATCACATAGCATTCTTTAAGGGAATTTCAAAGGCAACATTTAGATAATATTACATCAATTTATTTAACCACATATGTACTCTTTTGTTCTACTATCTTTTGCCATCTTTGGGATAGCTTCAAGATTCCTTCCTCTCAGAACCTGGCATCTTTCTGAATGTTGAACTGGCTTAAGTGCTGTGTATCACACAAAATTGAATTCTTCTCATTAAGAGAATATATTAGAGATTGAAATAAGTGGTAATCCGGGTGTATAAGATCAACTATGTATGGCAGGTGTAGTAGGAAAGGAAATCCAAGCTGTACCAATTTCTACCAGGTCTGCAAGCAAACAGTAAGTCTGTCATTGTCCCAATAGAAAACAACACCCTACCAATTAATCAATTCTGGACAATTTTCATCAATTACTGCAACTAATCATTCCAACTGAGGGCAGCACTTCTCAGAATTCAATTTGTAAGTTAGCAGCAGGAAATATTAATATGCAGTGTCCTCTCAATCTCACAGAATACACAGTATTATAATTTTCAAAAGCAGACCAGATTTTGACGTGGTTACTGGTAGTTCATTTTATTTTCCTTTAGATATTTTTAGCCCAACATTGTTGTAAATAATCCATTTTTCATCATCTGTAAATTGTATTATTTTTCAAAATGGGCCATTTGTTTTGCATTTTCCCAGAGAATTGCAGATCTAAAGGCAGGACCATAAATTTATTCAGTTAAAATGTGAGGTACCTAAACATTGTTGTGATTCATGTATCCAAGTCTTTTTGTAATTATTTTTAACCAACATCATGGTTTCATCATTGTCAATGACTGCAGGTATAGATATGCAGGTGTTGTAGTGGATAGTGGCTTGGAATGAGAGATCAGTGAGCCAAGTTCAAATTGGGGAAATTATGAGTATGGGCTAAATACTTGGATTTGTATCGAGAGAAATCATTGTTATTCTCAAATAATTATTTAATCTATTATTCCATTACAAAAGATGAATTATTATTAGACTTCCAAAAACATGTTCAAATAACTCACAAAGTATTGATAAGGCATTAAAAACAAATTAAAATTAAAAACAGAAGCTCTTTCAGAATGTTCTCAATCATCCAAACCAAAAAATTTCCACTTCTGAACAATTTGCTCAACTATGGCACCATCTCCTTAAATGACAGACACCTCTTTGTACAGTCTTTTTTTTTTCTTTTCCAGAAAGAAAAGTGCATGGAATGATGACCATGCCTTTCATTTTTCACCATTTCACTTTTAATGCAAAAAAAATTTAAATTCACAATCCCCCACATTAATCATAAAATGTGGCATTGAAATGACACTTTTCTGAATAGGTATAAATGTCATATTTATAAAAATTACTAAATTTTGGTCATATCTGAAAAATAATCATGTATTCAAATGGAATACATACATGCACACACACACACACATACATATATATATATATATATATATATATATATATATATGACAAAAGAAAAAACTATTCTTAGCCAATGCATTTCATCTTCTGAAGGACTTCATCAAGGCTCAGAGAACAAAACATGTTGGCTAAGGATACTTTTTTCCTCTTGTCTTTTCATTCATTTTGTTCCTTTACAGATACACTTTATCTGAAAATAATTTACTTATATTATTCGCTCTACTCTGTACTGAGCGCTTTTTTAAGAATAATGTTCTTGGCTACTGGAATTTTATTTTATCTATACCAACCTTGTATTTGGGTGTGTGTATATATATATATATATATATATATATATATAATGCTTGACTAAGCATCTTGATATAATATGTAATTTAGGCTACTGTCATCAAACAAAGGTTAAGAAACTCATCTCTAAAATCACTGAGAGAATTCCATCCACATAAGATATCTCCTTATTGCTAACCTTGATAAATGTCTACTTATCTCAAAATATTTATGTATGTCTATCTATGTATAAAGAGATTTAGTAGATACATACAAGCCATCACAGTAAAAGCCAACCTATTCCACATGAAGTGTGAACAAAATATTTTTCTTAGTTTTTACCATAATTTCTAAAGATAATGATGTAGTATCTGTTGCCTAATTAAAATCATTGTCACATGTATTTCAATCTTAAAATTTGGGTTAAGGACAATTTTTGATGCTGGTAACAATCATTAGTTCATCAAGTATAAGTCTGAAAAAAATGAGAGATTCTGTGTAGCTATTAATAAACTCTGTCTTTTTGTTATTTCTTCTAAACCTTATTCTACCATCCATTTACTCAAGTTCACTAAGAAGATTGTTTTCTACTGTCCCTCTTGACATCAATCTGTCCTGTATTAGATTTCCCAAGCTCTCTTTCCTTAGAACTTCATCATTGCTCACATGTTTTGTCCATGGTATCCTTAGTATCCTTCAGTAGAACTATATTTCTATAGCTTCAAGTCTCTTTTTCATCTTTGTTCATTCACTGCCATATTGGAGAACAGATATAATGTAATAGTTCAGTAATCTTTTCTTCATTTCTAACAAAGTTTTTAGTTTTTTTAATACTCTACCTAGCTTTTGGAATGCACTTTTGGCTATCCCAGAGAGCCTCTAGATATCAGTGACATTGTGTAATCTAGGAAAAATAGGTATAGTCTTTCTACTTTTGTATTACTTGCTCTGGTAGCATTCTGATTATAAAAATAAAAATACTCTCTATATTTTCATATATTAAAGAAAGTTATACTGTTTTTGTGCTATTTCCAGTCTAATATATATATATATATATATATATATATATATATATATATATATATATTTCATGTAGAAATGAGACAAAAGTTTTGTTCAGATATTATTCTACATCCTACTAATATATATATATATATATATATATATATATATATATATTAAAAATGGACAAAGTCCGACAAGTTTGAAGTTTATAAGCAGTAAATTCGACCTTGCCTACCGAACGTTCCTTTGTGGCGAAAGGTTAGGCACGTCAGCGTAAATGACGGTTCCGTATAGGATGCAGGTTCGAATCCTGTCAAAAGGACGAATATTTTCTATGAAAATTTCTCGGACATTCAGGCCGGTAAATGTTATTTAATACTGTTTATTATAAACAGAGCATTTACTTAAATACTTGTATCTATAAAAAAGAATGTTAAACATAAAAATGTCTTTAATATATATATATATATATATATATATATATATAAGAAAGTAGGTAGATACAACAGTATCAGTATAAATATTTCTCACTGACCAATTTGCTTGAATTGTGAGTTGGTCTTTCTTTTAAATAACATAAGGAACTGCATTCTGATTTAAGTTAACTGAATATTTCGGTAACATTTGTTAGCAGATAAAAGGAAAATACCAAGTCACAGGGAATAGGCTTTTTGTTTGTTTTACATCAACAATGATCATTGTAAATCCACTAATAAAAATTAAGGGCCTTCCCAATCACTGGTTTCCATATGATCACCAAAGTTAAGCAATGTTGCACCTGGTTAGTATATAGATTGGTGTTCACTTGGGAATAGCAGGTACTGTAAGCTTGTATAGTTTGTTGTGTAATGAATAATTGCTTGGAACTGGAAATCAGCAAGCCAACCTCCAATTCTCAGAGTTTGTTATTTTCATTTATGCAAATATACCCTTGGGAAAGGTATGAATTATATTCATGTTCATGGCTTACCACAATGTTCTGTACTATTTTCATTATCCCTCCTAGACTCTGCCATCCATTTACAATAGCTTCTCAGCTAGGATTACATGTTGCTTTCTTCAATGTCGTGTGAGTGTCAAAAGTTTTTCCTCATAATGCGTCCCAGATTTTCCAACGTCCTCTCTCTGATTCTAAGTATGAGTCTCCTGTTTTATTACATTTTCTTGAAAACTTCATCATAGCTTTTATATTTCTTCCATGGTATTCTCAACATCCTTCTACAGAAGCACATCTCTGCTGTCTCAAGTCTCCTCTTCATCTGTGAGAAAATTAGCCTTTACTACCATAAGGGAGTATCGATATTACACAACAGTTCAGAACTCTTTTCTTAGTTCCCATTGAAATTTTTCTATTGTTTAATAACTTGTTAAGATTTTGGAAAGCATATTTTGCTATTTCAATGAGCTTACAGATTTCTATGACAAATTTTCCCTTGTCTGTTTAAACAGAGTTCCTAACCACTGGCCATGGATTGGTACCAGACTGCACAGAAAGAATGGAAATTTTTTCAATTTTATTCATTATAGTGGTCTTGTTTATTCTCTTTTGTTATATGAGTGACTAATATCTCCCTCCTCATCCTGGTGTGTTAGGACACTTCCCAGATAATTAAACTGCTGTACTTGAAACAAAAGACATCAATTAGCAACAGTTGTATCAAAATCATTGTTTAAATCTTTGCATATTTATAAATGTTATAACCTTCCAAATCAGCTGAAAATGGAAAGAAAACAGGTGTTAATACATTAAACTATTCTCCCCATGATACTTATTGTCCATAGGATATTTATGCTGTATAGAGAAATTAAATCTGTCTATGAGGCCATCAATTTTCAAGTTTTGCATTGAAAAACCTCTTGAGTCTGTAATATTGGGAAACAGTGGTCATCATTGTATTCTCTAGGTACAATAAATATCAGTCCAAGATCTTTGCCTTGTCATGAGCACAAGCTGAATTGAAAAATGGTCACAGATTCTAATTCATGAAACCATGTTAAATTTGTTTATCTGTGATTCCTGCCTTGATTCTGCACCGATCACAGCTATCATTATCTTTTTCTACTGAAATATATTCAACTTATGAATTAGATATTTGTCACCATTCATGCTCTATTATATGATTTATTTGCTTTAAATATATATCTGATTATATTATAAAGATAGTAAAGTTTTGGGAAATCACAAAATTTTCAGTTACTTCTGCAGCATTCATCAATGCTTGATATTGAATAACATTTTTGATCATAGCTAAATTTCAAATCCAGCAGACTTTAATGACCCCAGTGAGAGTATCAAAAATCATGTGGTCATGACACCTGATAAAGATTTTTATTGTCCTTTTTCTTCATGTTGGTCACTCTTGTTCCGGTCAGATGATGCCAACTATAAGTGGGGAGGTGTGTGGCCTTAAACTCTTTTCCACTATGTTTTATTAGTGCATAATCAGAGTATAAATGTGAAAATATAAGACGAAGAGTATTGAGTGATAATGAAATAATAATAATAATAACTACCGTAATAATAAAAATGGGAACATGCCATTAAGGGAGATATTATCTGCGACTTTACGATGATAAGAATGATGAACATAATAACAATAATAATAAAAAAGAAAGGTAATCTTTATCTATAAAAACCAATGTCTGGCCACTCATATTCAAGGACACCTGTCTACTAGGGTGGCTAGCTAATCCCTATTGCAGATGCTTGCTCAGGTGCATTTTGTGTTTCTTCAACTTGTTCAACACCCACAAAGCCCACCTGTGGTTTTACTGCAACTATAGTGAGCAGAACTTAGCTGCAGTTTCTGGGAGAAAAGCATGTTATCTAGTGTGATCAACAATCTGAACAACGTCATGTTCAAACCCTCAGTCATGATAACATGTGACTTCATGCTAGCGCAGCCATTGATGGCCCCTAACGGTTTTATCTACACAGTTCCACTTACAAGGCTTTCAGGAACTTTTCAAAGGTGCCACATGCTAAGTTCACCTCCTCCAGACTGATGACATCAGGAAGTCACCTTCCTGACAAATTGACCATTGTGAAATTTGACTCAAACCTGGGTCACATGGTCAGAAAGCAGACATTCCAACCACTCAACCATGTGTCCAATCTATAATATATATATATATATATATATATATATATGAAGATATGCTGCCTATATATATATATATATATATATAAGCATATCTTCATTCAAACATGTTTCATTGAATAATATAAACATTATTTTATACTGATCCTTTCCATTTGTCTAATCAGTTTCTTGATGTTGAAATGAAACTGATCAAGGAAGGTGTCACACTTCTTTTTAACCCAAGTACATTCAACCTTTTCTAAGATCATCTTCAGGTGTAAATTACAACAACAAACATTCTATTGTAACTGCAATAAAATCTACATTCTGTTGTCATAGTGGTGGTGGTGGCGAGCAAACTGCAATCACTTTTGTTTGAGCTGAAGAGAGATTGGTCTAAGTTCTCTATAAATTGTGTTAGCATATATATATATATATATATATATATATATATATATATATATATATCAGTATGTTTTTGCTATGTTTGTAATAAAATTGTGTATCTCTCTCTCTCTCTCTCTATATATATATATATATATATATATACACATGCATATATATATATATATATATATATATATATATATACACATGCCCATATATATATATGATAGGATGAGGAACAAAAAATACGAAATGTTTATAAATTTAAGATGTTTTACTTTTATTTAAACTTCATCAGAAATTGAAATATGAAAAAGGACAAAAATAAGATATTTTTTTTTATTTTTATGTTAAGTAAACCTTCCATGTATTTGTCCTGCCATGCAAATGAGGTCGCCTGAATCAATGAAAAACAAACAACACAAGAACTAAAAGGAAAAGAATTCTTTTTCCTCCTCCATAATTCATTTTCTGATGAAGCATTAAATAAAAGTAAATCATGTTAAATATAGAAACATTACCTATTTGTTCCTTATCCTATCATTCTGTCAGATTCTAATACATATTTGATCAAAATTCAGGTAAACTGTTGCCATTATATATTTTTTATTTTGCACAGGCACGTTGTGTTGTTTTTAATTTTTTTTTTTGTCAGATGTAGGGACAGTTGGGCACTATCTGTTAGGAAAAGAGCACCATGATGCAATTCAATCCACCAGAAATTTGGAAACAATATGCTGTACTGCTTTGTATTTGCACCAGAAGCTCAAATATATATGTTTCAGTGTGTTTGAATGTTAATCTGAGGACAGTGCAAAAGATTTGGAAAGAGTTCGGTGAATCTAATGGTGATTCTGAAGATGTTTGGAGTGATCACTATTGATGATCACATTATGCCTCTATTAATTTGTCCACAGGGCCTCAGACCCAACATGGAGGCCTGCATCAAGTGCCTTGAGAAGGTAAGGCCGCTCTGGACCAAGAAGGTGGCAGGTGGAAGACCCTATGTCTGGCAATAAGACACTACATCATGCCACACAAGAAGGGAAAACCAGTCATGGTTGTCAGGTAATTTCTATGACCACATCATCCTTTACATCTGGCCACCTAACTGCCCCAGGCTGCAAACCCCTTGATTATTATGTGTGGAGTGCAGTTGAGACCAACACAACTCCTTGTAACACCAAAGATGAACTGAAGACAAGGATTATGGCAGCATTCACCAAATTAAACAAGGAGATTGTCCAGAAGAGATGCAGTAGATTCTGAAGTGGTTCTAGCCAATGGTGATTTTAATGAATAAATTTATTCCTTAGTATTTCAAGATATTATGTGTAAATTGGTAAATATATCTGTTAAAATAGAGATGCCAATGTTATTTTCATTTTTGCCTAATTTTGGCTCTCCATAACTTCTTATCCTTTGTATAGCAAGGTTTGTCATATCATTATCCTCCCTACTCTGTGTTCTGCCATTCATTTACACAAGCTTGTGAAGTAGCTTACTCACTATTTCCCTCTACTCCTTTTGATTTCAGGATTAGAGCCATACTAGCAGCATGGCCCGGCGTTGCCCGTGCTTGATTCAAAAATCGTATGACTCCTACAGCAATCGCTATCACTTGACTTAAAATATTTTTGCCCTTCCTTGACTTTAAAAGAGTGCCCTTTGCCGTGCTGATGTTGCTACATGCTTTACTTCTTGCCTATCTCACACTGCAAATTTTTTCTAAGCTCTATACTAAACATTAAATCTGTTACAAAAAAAGAACTAAACAAAATGAACACAAAATGATCAGCTTTAAAAAAGAACTCGTAACTGGAAAAACCAAATGAAAAAAGAATATTAACAACAAATGCTTTTTCATACCCAACCCAGTTCTGCAGAATCAGAATCAACGTTGAGTTTAAGCAAGCGAATGAGCCAATTGGAGTAAAGTGCCATGCAAATTTAAATTTTTCCCACTTGTGACGAATGCAGCTACCGATTTTTTTTTGCATGCTAGCATGCTAATTAACATTCTTGTCAGTCAGCTGTTGGCTCTCACGCTGGCTAATAGAATCTTTCTGCCTATTCGTGGCAGCCAGCTATAGGCTCTCACTCTGGCCAGTAGAAAATTACATGAAAACTGGTGTAGAAGCATGAAAAATTGATTATTTCCATTGTCGATGGGAGTTGTAAAATGCAAAGTTGGTCTTGGCCTTTCTGCTAACTTGGAGCATGTGCATGTAAATTTTGGTGCAAATCCGTCGAAAAATGCAGCCATGCATTTGTTAAACACATGCACACACACATCCTGCCTTTTATAGATAGAGATCATGTTGAAACTTGGTCAGTACCTTAATGGGTGACCACTTC